ATAGGATGGCACAAAGTGACAGTCCTAAAATCTAACATTACTGGGTACAATGGGAACTAATAACTAAAGGTTTATTTGTCAAGTTAATATCTATGTTGAAGGTCTGGAATATTCTACTACCCTAATGACAAATGGGAAAAAAGGATGAGAACTGTGGAAATCGAAATGGCATAGCTACCATTGTTATGATTATGAACAATAAATTGTGCTCGAAACATTATCCAGTGTGAAGAGAGAAAGAACGAACATATTTGCAGGATAATACGAGCTCGTTTTATTTCGTGGATTCTCATCAACTGCATACATCCTAAACAAAATCAAATTATAGGTTTCAAGAAAGTTGTGGAACATACTTTTTCATAAATACTTTGAGTTATAGATAGAAGGCATAAGGAACATAATTTCAGAAATTGATGTAGGTAGACAGATTATTCGGTGTCAAAAAACAACTAATTATATATAGTGGAATTGGATAAGAGGGGTAAGAGTTCAGATTTCTATTGGAAAACAACACAGATTGGTTAGAGGCATATCACAGGGTCAGGGTCAGAGAACAAAGTAAATTTGCACATCTTGTGGTGGAGAGTTTAAGAGGGTGGGGGTGAATAGTGAAGTAACATTTATAACTTAAACACACAAACAATTAAGTAGATTTAGAAAATTGAAGGTCAAAATTGAATAGAATGTTACGTAACAAGACAAACACACAGGCATACTGACAGAAAGGCAAAACAAAAATAAAATAAAATAGAGTTAAGGTTACCAGGGTAGTGAAAGATTAATCACACTATCTTTCTGTATACAAAGGTCTGGTCGAAATCTCTTGATAGCAATGGCTTCTGCGAAGCGAGGTAGCCGTGGGTTTCTTTGTGTATTGATTATTTTGAAGGCTTGGCTGATTTCTACTGTGTGTCCTGTGTCAATTAGATGTCTGGCGATTGCACTTGTTAACACTTTTCTTCCTTTTGTACGGAGACTCTTAGGAATGTGCTCGGAAAATCTAGTAGATGCTGTCCTCTCAGTCCTTCCTATGTACTTGCTACCGCAGGTGCACGTGAATTGGTAAATGCAGTTGGAGTTGACGTGAGTAGGGAACTCATCTACTTTTGACTGGGTTAACGAGCACACAGTGTTGTGAAGTAGGATCAGTCTGGCGGCTGGGAACGTTCTTTTCAATGCACCTGTGATTCTTTTTTGTGTTCTTGTAGATACGTCTTCCCCTTTGTACGCTAGACAGATGAAAACTGGTTTCTTTTCAACGGTGTCGGGTTTCGGTTTGTGTACTTCCTCATTTCTATATTTTAATATGAACTTTCGAGGATATCCATTCTCGATAAGGTTCTTTTCGATGATCTCAAGTTCTTCTTCAATCTTGTCTTCTGAACATATGTCTTTGGCTCTGCTGAAGAGCGTTTTTACTAGACATCGTTTGTAACTGGTTGGGCAAAAGCTATGATAATGTAGGTATTGACCAGTCCAAGTTTCTTTCCTGTAGACAGATTTTTGGATTGTCCCATCGTTTCTTCTTTTTATGTTGACATCTAGGAAATGGAACTGGTTGTTTCTTTCGTGGTCAATTGTGAATGCGATGTTGGGATGGGCCGCGTTGAGTTTCTCAAACATTGTGGACGCGTGTTCTATATCATTGCAGACCACAAACGTGTCGTCGACATATCTGCAGTAATAGGTGGTTCTTTCTATTTCTTCTTTCATTTGAGTCTGTTCAAGATGAGCCATGAATATGTCAGCAAGAACAGGACCCAGAGGTGAACCCATGGCCACCCCGTCAATCTGCCGGTACAGCTGATTGTTGAATCGGAATTGAATATTCTTTGTACATAGAAATAACAATTTGCGTAGCTCATTTTCTGGAAGAGGGAGCAGTTCGAACTGCTGGCATATGATTCTTACTGTTTCTTCGATGGGTATGCTGGTAAACAGTGAACAAACGTCGTTTGACACGAGAAGTCTATCTGAAATATTGAGTTGATCTAATTCTTGTGAAAACTGGAAGGAATCTTTGATTCTGTGAGCTGCCAGCTTTTGTCGAATGGGTTCCAGCTTTTGGGCCAACCATCTGGCCAGTTTATGGCATGGTGATTTCACCATTGATATTATAGGTCTCAATGGTACATCACTTTTGTGGACTTTGGGTTGACCGTACATGTTTTGTTTTGCCTTTCTGTCAGTATGCCTGTGTGTTTGTCTTGTTACGTAACATTCTATTCAATTTTGACCTTCAATTTTCTAAATCTACTTAATTGTTTGTGTGTTTAAGTTATAAATGTTACTTCACTATTCACCCCCACCCTCTTAAACTCTCCACCACAAGATGTGCAAATTTACTTTGTTCTCTGACCCTGACCCTGTGATATGCCTCTAACCAATCTGTGTTGTTTTCCAATAGAAATCTGAACTCTTACCCCTCTTATCCAATTCCACTATATATAATTAGTTGTTTTTTGACACCGAATAATCTGTCTACCTACATCAATTTCTGAAATTATGTTCCTTATGCCTTCTATCTATAACTCAAAGTATTTATGAAAAAGTATGTTCCACAACTTTCTTGAAACCTATAATTTGATTTTGTTTAGGATGTATGCAGTTGATGAGAATCCACGAAATAAAACGAGCTCGTATTATCCTGCAAATATGTTCGTTCTTTCTCTCTTCAAACTAATAAAGGGAACCGGTTGCATGAAATTATCCAGTGTGATATATTCAATAAACACATTGATATGGAAAATATGTATAATGGGCTATTATTTCTGAAATGAAAATGACTTTTGTTGATAACTTGATCACGGTAATCTGAACTGACATCACATTTTAGAGGATAATTTTTATTTCAATACTGTGAATTGTTTTAATTTCTTTACAATATCATCTATACTCTATTGGTGAAAACATTTATGAAAATTACTATTTTTCCATAAATGGCATCAATGTATTTTATTTCTCATGTAATTAGATAATTAACGAAATTAGGTAAGAAAGAGCATCTGGTTTAAGTGTCAAAATGTGGTAAGAGCTGTCTACAAGACAAAATTGTAAACAACAATTTACGTCTATGCTTACATCCCAAATCGGGGTCATGAGAAAAAACAAGAACAAAGCCTAATCTTGAGGAACTCAACAACCAATCACAGCAGACTTGGCATGTACAAACATGATTCGCAGATATATGGCTTAAAATTCTAAGAAACGGTCACAAAGAGGGGACAGAATAACCTTCAGCAAGAAAACAACCAATCAGAAGGCGTTGCTTCTCTGCTAAAATAACGAATAATAATGTACATAGAGATCTATAAATACCTCTTGATTTCCTCAATAAATGATCTGTTGCCTGGCCCTTGTCTTCTGTCGTTACAAAGATACTTCTTTGTCATGAATTTATTTCAACTAAAATATGCTCAAGATTACAAAAAGAATACTAGGAAAGGTGTATTTTTCGAGATCAAGATTACTGAATGGTGTTTACTGTTTGTTGCTTTCATTTGGTATTGAACCTCAAATTCTTTTTATATTTTAGAGTGCTCTATTGTTTAATCTTATTTACTTGGGATTTCATGGATTGCTGCACATCTAACCAGTGGACATCTCATTTAATAAGTGTTTTATTTCATAAAACGAACATCGAAAAGAAATTATACTTTATTCCTTATAATCTGTTCACATAATCTTTATAAAAATTCTTGAAAGTATTTTTAAAATAAATTCTATATATAATGATTAGTACATCGTTGAAAAGGATATTCATTGAAGCAGTTGGTTTAGAGTAAGCATTGTTTATTTATTGGTATAGTGGCTAACTCTTTGGTGTTTGAAGTGATAGGTATTAGGCTTTGGTATCACTGGTGAGCAAGCTGGCCCGGCTGACGAGCCTCAAATAAGACGGAACACAGGTTGTGGATTCTACTACTAGTCATCACCCTAGGGGTTAACAATAGATAATATACTAATAATACTGAATACTAGTTGAATATCCTGGGTTACCTAAATGTTATTATTATTTGTTTCTGGGTTTTGTACATTAATAATGACATATGTAATATGACTGGTAAACAAGTTTATAAGAACCGATGCTATCCAACAGGGGATCAGTAACGCTTACTGGTGAGGTGTATTAGACTGGAAAAGAGATGTACTGATCTTATTCAGTTATTTCAAGATAGCCCTTTCTTTCATAAGTAATCGCTATCAGTTGGGGGAAAACTGAACACTGAACAACCGTTTTGTCCTAATATAAGACTCTTCAGCAACATGAATATATAATAGACTAGTTTTTATTATGGAATTTTGCATACTACTTTATTTAATGAAGAATTCGGCAAGTAGTTTAGTCACTTGATTTTATTTAGTTAATTTACAAGTTTAGGACGCAATCAACATGCATAACCAAGTACCACCGCTGGGTTATGTGTATTGCGTACGTTGGGTCACTGATCTTTTAAAGTTGCGGTGTGAATTGATGTAGCATTAGTCCGGAGGGATGTAATCAGTCACCAAGTGTAGATATTTGCATCATTTCTTAATTTCTGTTTATTATTCTGAGTCGTGTAAAATAAATGTATGCGTTTCACTAGTAACTCTTAATAGTTAAAATCATTTAATGGGAATGTGCTCAGTATTTACAGGTGAAATTTTCGATAATCTATATTTAATTATTGCGCGAGCACACGCCTTTAGTCTGGGGTTCAGTTGCCTACCGAGGCACTCCTAAGCATCTTCTAGTTTACTAGCCACTAGTATGACCGGAAAAGAGGGAAGGTTGGACGTGCGGCTAGCAATCCCACTCCGTAAAATATGACACGGCTACTACAACTGCAAGATTTTAAGCTGTATATTCGACAATGAACTCAAGGAAAGAAAAAAATCATTTGAATATCAGCTCCACTTTTATGGCTTTTTACTACTATATTTAAACAATTGTGACTTTAACATGATTACTTATTTTACTTTACTGTTGCTTGTTTTCATCTCTTTTTTTTTAACAGCTTTTCCTTAGAGCTCATTTTTCTTATGATCCAAAAAATGATAATTTAATTCCATGTAAAGAAGCTGGTTTAGCATTTTCAGCTGGTTCTATTCTTCAAGTACTCAAACAAGAAGATCCTTATTGGTGGCAGGTAAATATAAATTTATTTATTTTTGCTTACAGGATGTCATCACAAGCTTACATCGGTTAGAGAAACATTGGAAAACTTGAGAGTATTGTATAGCTGTTTCATTCTAGTTCGAGACTGTTCTGCAGTAAGCAATCACCGGGATTTATATCCTGGACCTTCCGGTTACAAGGTGAGCTCGTAGACCATTAACCCACCGGTTGCGCTATATTGTAAATTGGTAGAAGTTGGAACTCATGGGTGACTGGATCGAGTCTCAGTAGCCGAATAGTTTACGAGCTCGCCTTGTAACCGGAAGGTCCTGGGTTTTAACTCTAGTGGGTGTGTACTGACGAAGAGCCCCAAACAGGGACAAAACAGCTGTATACTAATCGTAATTTTCTCAATGGTCCTCTAACCGATGTCAGCTCGTGATGAAATCACGTAAACAGTAAAATCAAATCCCTGAAAACTAACACTTCAATTATTTATTTTTGTTTGTCTTTTAGTCAATTTCCTAGCGGAACATTTGCTAGAGTCCATGACTTGATGTCTTTTCCCCCTGTTTTATGACGTACATGGGAGCTTGAACCTCATACATATTGTCACTCAGTGTTCAAAGGATGTTAGCTTTCAAAATCACACTAGCATTTAGCCCATGCGAAACACAAATTAAAAAAAAATTTTTAATCTCATCACATCCGATTAGCTGCAAGCAAACATTAGTAGAAACTTTTGGAAAAAAATAACCCATATTCATGTAGTCTACCTTCAAGTTTAATAAGTTCACGAATAAATTCAATCGAAAATTAAGAGGTGTACTTAACAGTACAGTCATCATAGTGAAGTTAATATTCATTTACGAAGAACATTGTTTAATAATATAGTGTAACAACAGAAGACAAGGCTGGCAACAGATCAGTTTTATTACGAAAACCAACAGGTATTTATATGTATTTTACGTACATTAATAAGGCTTCTGCCCGCAGAAAGAAGGCGGTCTTCTGATTGGTTGTTTGCAAACAAACGCAGTCTTCTGCTTTCTCGTTTTCGATATTTTTCGGAAATGCGAGCCACTTGTCTGCGAATCATATTTGTCCACGTTTAGGTCAGCTGTGATTGGTTGTTGAATCAGCCTAGACTAATTTCTACCAATCAGCGTAGATCAATGTCTACCACTTGGCTAGCAGCTTGCTCTCACCACAATAGAACTGATATATACATTACACCTCTTCTGCATTTATCGGTTTAGGTATCCATTTAAACACAAATGCACTGGAAGAAAAAAAGGTATACTTCTATTCGTTTTATTGAATACCTTTTAAAATAACTTGCGGTTTAAGATAATCCTAATGGTATTAAAAGCTCCATTTCATTCCATATATTAGGCAGGTAGCACATTTTTAACACTGGTTATATACATAGCAGACAACAGACTGCATTATCAATGCCATAATGTACTTCCTGCACGAGTTTAAAAGAGTCATTGTTAACCTCTTGTTAAGTGAAGCATATAAAAATAGCTCCTAATATATATTTTATTCATCAAATTCGAGTGAATCTATTTCGTACTTAATCTACTGTGTTTCCCATTGACACATTTCACATTACTGATTCAAGTATGTCAATAATTCTTTTAAATTTTCATCCAGAAGTGACTCCACTTAGAAAGCCACTGAAAACCAGGGAGAACTAGATAGGCGTTTCATCATGATTTGTGCCTCTTCAGCAACACGTCGACCACTCAATCACTTAGGCCGTAAATCCTAACTTCTATGAATTCCCTGATATAGTGCTTCCTCTAATCAATGTTACCATTGAGTATCCACTTCACCTTGACAGTGGTGGACCCTATTACTCATAACTTCTCATCACAACTTCATGACATCATCTACCTAATAGGATGGAGATTGATACTGAAATTATGCACATATGTATTTAGATTACACATTTTAAAATGAATTAAAATTTTTAATCTATTTCGCAAAAGTTGAGTATACTTTATTATTATTCAGTTTGATTAAAACAAGACTATTTTCTTTACATTCATTTTTTGTGCATACAAGGGAGGGGGGTAGGGCTTAAGTTTACAAATAGCTATCACCTCTGAGTATTTTAATAAACGCCCTTGACTGCTTTTTCTATCAATAAGCTTAAAACGGATATCCTTTAAAATTTGTAAATCCATGTAGAAGTCAGTTAGTGTTAAAATTCTACAGTTTATCCCGTCCATAAGAAAGATATCTTCATCAAATTACCATAGACTGGGGAAATAAATAGTAGGAGTTTAGGGTAGGGACTAAACTCGATCATCCGTAGGACCTACTATGTAGCTCGGCCTATAATTTGTGAAAAAACCAAAAACATTCTCTGCTATGAGCCTCAACATTGCACAACTGATTATGTCACATCCCATTTTTTTTCCTTCACGTTCCCCAGTGGAACATAGGGCTTCAAGCTAGTGACTTGAAGTTTCTGTAGCAGTGTTTATTTTATTTTGCAGGATGGGGTTGCTAGCCTCATGCCCAATCTTTCCTCTTCACCAGCATTATTTCTGGCTTAACGAGGTGGAGTGCATCGACCGGGGATCGAACCCCGGACCATATGCATGGTCGGCGAGCGTCCTAACCGCTATGCCACCGACGCCCATGCTACATATCAATTTAAATGTGTGTGTGTGGTCACGTATACATAGGGAGGAGTATTCGCTCTTCGTATGTAGGGGTGGGTAACATATACCCAAATTTTTAGAAAAACAAACGAACTGTGAAATCACGTAAGACACAGGTGGCAGACTACCAACTTCGTCAACAGCTAAACACTTAATCGATATGAATCACAAGAGTGATATCAAAACAACTTTTAAGGTTATTTATAAAAACGGTCAAGGACGCTTATTGAAATAAACAGAGACAATAGCTAATCGTAAGCAGTTTTTTAGAAGAAAAAGACAATCCCAAATTGTTTATGATATAAACTGTATTGATGAAAAAAGAAATTTGTTTATGTATTATTTATGTATATTTGTTTTATTCAATTAAATTTTAGGCAAGACATCATAATCAAGATGGTCGTGCCGGTCTCATTCCATCAGTTGTTTTACAAGAAAGACGTAAAGCATTTATACAAAGTGCTCCAAATCCAGATGACTTAACGTATAAAATGTTTGCCTGTGGACTTGCTAGACGTAGAAAGAAAAAGGTACATTTGCGTTTATATAAATATATATACATGAACTATTCAAATAATAACAATTGTATGCGCGTCTGAGTGTTTATGTTAGAGTCTCTATAGTAAGTCAAAATGATTGAGTTGAAATATTATTGGTCAACATGATTAACGAATTACAAATCGATTAAATATAAGACATTTGAAGGTGAAAGCAAATTACATTAAGCATAAGAGTAAATAATTATTAATTATATATAACAAGAAGGTCATTTGGTAGAAAATGTGAATATAAGGTTGTTGTTGTGATGATATCATCCTAATTGTCTGTAATTAAATTAGTGAGACAAAAAGAAATAAAAGTCATCTAGGACATGTTGATAAAATGAGGTATTCAAGACACAATGAAAGTGATTTCAGTTATTTTCATATAGTTTTTAAAAACTACTGTTAATCTCGACACTGAACTGGATAACCCGGTTGCCAGTTTGTTGCGTACCTGTCGCTATGATCTCGTTGTGACAGCTGATATGACCGAGTGGAGTGATGATTGGGTATGATAATACTAACTCAATGAACAACTCAACTGATTTGCGCTAAGGTAGGTGAAAAATTAATATACTGATTAGTTGGCGATCTGATCAAGACCAAGATGAGAAAAAGACGATGAAGTTTTACCGTCATCTGATCACATGATGAATCCTAAGGTGATTACTATTTTAAGCTGATTTCTATCACCTCCCCTCGTAAAATGTGTAGGACTTTCTTTTTGGATCTATTTGGAGAAGTTTTGACTTTTCAACCAAAAGTAGTTCCTTTTAGAGATAATTTATTTGAAATAGAAGTATTGGATGCCATATGAAAAGGCAGCAAAAATCTATCTCAGGTTTATCTCACTTTCCCCTCCCCGTTCGCTCTCATGAAAGCACGCCTAGAGGCATTTACGAGGCGTTCACTTTGTTCATAGGATTGGGATTGATACAGACATGGACGTTTAGGACGGGAAACGAGCTTCAGAGGCGAAAAGACTTGGCTAGACTTGCGGTAACCAAAATTTTCCCAGGAGACTGGGGCATGCTTTTGATGCAAGTGTTGCAACAGAGATTTACGTGGTGCATGGTTTGAAATGAAATCATTTGATAAAGGCGACACGTTGAAACATACCGAATTTAATGGAAATTTTTAGAGATTGAGTTTATCTAATCAGTCAGGACCAAGTAAATTCCTATCGACTACCCAGTGTTGATATTATATGGTTGGAGGCAATCGGTAGGAAGCCTTGGACCTAGGTTTCGTGCTAGCTGGTACTCACCATCAGGCAAGGCGTATCTGCAATCTTGAAGGAACTCATGTCCCTTCTGAGATTCGAATCCGTGTCACCCAATGTTGCAATAAGAGACGTTACCACTGAGCTATTGGGGCTCGCAGTTGACCTCCTATAGGACTATACTGGATACTTTGATTGGACACTAGTCAGTGACTAGTGTAGTATGTCCAGTCCTTTGTTTGGTGCAGACTGAGTTCTATCAGTCAAGTTTGCAGTGTTGCCACCATTCTAGGTGGCTCACCATCACGGTGCACTTTGAGTTGTTAGAATAGAATAGCTCAGTGGTAACGTCTCTTACTGCAGTATTGGGTGACAGGGATTCGAATCTCAGAAGGGACATGAGTTCCTTCAAGATTGCAGATACGCCTTGCTTGCTGGTTAGTGTCAACAAGCACAAAACCTAGGTCTAAAGCTTCTTGCCGATCGGCTCCAGTCGTCTAGCATCAATTCAAAGTGCACCGTGATGGTGAGCCACTTAGAATGGTGGCCACATTGCAAATGTGTTTGACAAAATTCAGTCTGCACCAAACAAAGGACTGGACACACTACAGTGGTCACTGACTAGTATTCAATCAAACTACCCAGTTTATTTAGTTCAGGCTAAATGGAAATGAATTTAATGTTTATCAGTGACTAACTATGGGATGAAATTGCCTGGAGTTCTAGTGAGAAGTTGTGATCCTGCAGTTTTGTTGTGAGGACGAATACTCATCGATGACATTAACTGCTGGTGGTACTATAAATCATGAATTAACAGAAGTTAGAATTCATGAGTAACTGGACTACATCCGATTGGATGAATTGTCACCACGCTTGCCTCACAACCTGAAGGTTCTGGGTTCGATTCCCGGTTGTTTGATGACTGTGTACTACTGGAATTTCCTAAATTAGAAATCCAACAACCAATGACTTATAACTTATGTCATCGATTAGTATTTCTCCTCATGTCCAACATGGTTGACCCTACAAGTCAAGACTTCATCCTATAGTCAGATGTACGTACTGGTTAAGTGTTCAGTCAACGAATGAGTGAGTAGCAATTCTTTTGAAGGAAATATAATACTGTAGTTTTATAATGACGTACTAACTATTACGCAGAATAAGTGCTGAGGATATAACAACTATGATGACTAAATGAAGATAATTGTAATCAGTCGAATGTACTAGTCAAACATATTAGTTTGTTTATTAGATGTATCACACAGTGAAACAGTATTATTTGCTGGATGACGTTTTGAACACAGTTTATTGTTCATAATCATATCAATTGTGATCACACGACTTTGACACTTGAGTTTTATAGCTTTCTTTGTTTTCTCCTATTTGTCGTAGGGGGAGTAGAATTTTCCAGATATCGGGGACAGGTGATGAATCATTCCTATTACATGTATTTGCAGTTGATTCGATAAACAAAGCTTCTGTTATCAGTCTCTCCCTCCACTCTGATACATTAGATTTTAAACTGTCATCCTATCCTATCCCATCCTATTGTATAGTTGGTTGTGTGTAATTGCATGTAGTGAGTGCCATAGCTGAACTATTCTCTAGATTTCTTATTTTATTCGGGTCAACCAATCTAGATTTTGCTAGGTTTTTATGCTCGTCTAGTCTGACTGCCCCTGTTCTACTAGTTTGACATGACAATCATTGCAGGCAGGGTATTTGATAAACTAAATTGTTTTGTTTTAAAGGCTCCACAGCAACCTTTAACAGACAAAGCTTGTTTCTAATTGAGTTTGTGGGTTGGAATGCCATTATAACTCTTGTGTTGTTAAGAATTCTGCTTAAGGTTTCCGAGGTTCCTTCCTTGTATGGAATTACTACTGATGATCTAGATTCCTTATTGTCGGTGTTGTCTTGCGCATATTTGACATGCATGTCGTCATTAATATTACTATTATTATTATTATTATTATTATCAACACCTTTCCCAGATATATGAGAAATTCCGTTACCCCAATGACGACAAATAGGAGGGAACAAAGAAGACTATAATACTCAAGTTCCGAAGTCGTGTGATTACAATTGATATGATTATGAACAATAAATTTTGTTCGAAACGTCATCCAGTAAATAATACTGTTTCACTGTGTGATGCATCTAATAAACAAACTAATATGGAATTACTTACTACCACAGTGCCCAAGTTTTACACATATATACCAATAGTCAAACACTTTTGTGTCTCTGTCGGTAGTTCAATGGTAGAATACTCGTCAGTTGTGCGGGAGGTCGTATTTCAATTCCTGGCCGAAGTATTCTTGAACTTCGCCTAGTTTACTAGCCAACAGTAAGGCCGTAAAAGAAGAATGTTAGGGTTGAGGTTAGTAACTCCACACCGATTCTAAATCCTTAAGGCCTGTAGCCGTATATGTCGAATGGAACGCAAAGAAATGAAAAGAGAAATCCAAGACTTGGTAGTCACATACTTACGAACACTAAAAATATAATCAATAAATCTGGTGATAACCTTCTCATGTTTTTTTCAAAAGGTTTGAATTTCCATTATTTGTATTTATTGTTAAACATTTTTCCATACTAAGTACAGTTTCCTTTTTTTAATTCCTTTGTGTTCCGAGTGTAATTTAGGGCTTCAGAAGTTTGTAAGTTTCACTAGTGGTGTTGATTTTTTTCTTTACAGGTTGATGGTGCCAACCATACCTCTTTTAGGGCTTACAATCGACTAGCAAACTAGACGAGGTTTAGGAATGCCTCTCATGCTAATCAAACGTGGACCTCCCATGAAGTAGAGTTGTCAAATCTCCAGATTGTAAAGGAGACTAAACATATTGCTTATTCCAGAAGACTAATCGGCGCCTCGGAATACTATATGCGGTAACCGACAAGGTAAAATCCGAAAGCGGATTGACAATACGAGGATTGTTTATCTCTTCATCGACAATGATTTAGAACAACAGGATTACAAAACACAAAGTCTATGAATGAACGTTGATATAAAGAATAGTAATACTTCTGACTGTTTTTCTCCAGTCTTCTGCCAACCTGCATATGATTAGGTCTTGACTGCCATTGTTGTTTCCCGGCACATAGAGATCAGTTAAAAACAAACCATATGTTAGATTGCATGGAGCATTTCATCATGAGCTGACATTAGTTAGAGAACCACTGGAAAACCCGCAGGGAGTACTGGACAGCTGTTTCTGTGGTCCTAGTTTGGGACTCTTCATCAGTACGCACCCACCGGGGTTCGAACCCAGGACCTTCTGGTTACAAGGTGAGCTCGTAGACCATTAAGCCACTGGGACTTGATCCAATGGTCCTTGAATTCTAACTTCTGCCAATTCATGACATAGCCCGACCATTTCGAACCCCAGTGGGTGCGTACTGATGAAGAGTCCCAAACTAGGACGAAACAGCTATCCAGTACTCCCTGCAGGTTTTCCAGTGGTTCTCCAACTGATGTCAGCTCATGATGAAATCCTCTATGCAATCAAACAAAGAAAAATCCCTACAAAACCAATACTTGAAAAAACCATATATTACTCATTCAATGTTCACCAACAATGACAAGAGTACTAATTAATTTTCTATGCTGAATACTGTGTTCTACGTTTGAGGTCTTGATTCATTTCCCTGATGATGGATTATCACCATTTTAAAATTGTTGACGGCGTTTTCTTCACTAGCTGATGAATGTTTGGTCAAAGAAAATCATTTGTAATATTAGAATATAGTTTTTTGAAAATGATGAAGTAAATTAATATCTTCGTTGTTTTGTTGTTTGTCCACATTTATTAAAGGTGACTATACCATTTTGTGCAAGAGATGCTGACAATTATGATACAAAAGACCTTGTAATTTATGAAGAAGTTGCTATGGTATCAGGTTTTCAACGTCCTGTTGTTTGTTTAATTGGTGCACCTGGTGTTGGTCGTCGAAGTCTACGAAATATGTTAATTCGTGCTAATAGAGAAAGATATGCATCAGCTGTTGCACGTAAATTAATTATTAGTATTCGTTTTCATGAATTATGATTTTTACTCGATAATATTTTCGTTGGGAGAAGATCATAAATACATAAAACGATATACTACTGATTTATCGAGATGAGTAGTCGTATACTACTGGCACCAACCAGTAGTGCTTGCTAGTCGGCCAGGTCGAAGTTATGTAAACACCGGACGGCCTTTTCACTTCTTTGGGACCAAGCTCATTAAGTAGTGTACCCGGTTTGACTCATCTCATATAGCCCATTCAGTTCAAACCAAATCGCGAATTGGATTTATGGCATGACCAGTTCGACCAATTAACTAGCCAGAAATCCGGTGGTTTGAAGTGATTCAGCTCTCTGAGCTGATTCCAACCGGTCGACTGGTATTCAGATCACCTCAATATGGCTGGTTAGCAAGCACTACTTATTTCAGTCAAGTAGTAGTATACAGTCTTATGTAAATATGAGTGGTTTCTTGATTGACATTGATGGTATCAAGCAAATCACATACTGTAGTCTGAATAATCTCAGTTTCCAAGGGAAGCTATGGTGAAAGAATCACCTTGAACTGTAGAAATTGCTAAGGAATTTGAAAATTGTGAATTTTATTGAGAAGATTATAAACTTTCAGAAACTATGTTAGGTGAATTAGTTTACGCATTAATCTGCTTCAGCAGGTGGTTTTTAGCCCATAGTTGGATGGATCCCATTTTTTAATGACAAAATCAAGTGGGATGTAATGTTATCATCGCACGCATGCTTTTTGGGTTTAGACAGGTATATTGATTTTGAGTTTCCAGTGAACCTAACCTTACTTGTGCAATGTGTTTTTAAAATATCAGGACCTTGTTAATACAGTTGCCCATGTATACAACTTTGAAGAATAACTTTTACGTCGGTTTATTAATTTCGAACTTGAGAAATATAAAAAAAATTTTACCCTTATTTTACTTCATCAATACTGACCGTGCAAATTTGCTGAATCCTAATTAGAAGCTTGTGCGTCGGTGGCACAGCGGTTAGGACGCTCGCCGACCATGCACATGGTCCGGGGTTCGATCCACGGCCGACGCATTCCTTTACCATGCTAAGCCAGTAATAAGACTGGTAAAGAGGAAAGTTTGGGCATGAGGCTGGCAACCCCATGCTGTAAAAATAAACACTGCTACAGAAACTACAAGCCTCTAGCTTGAAGCCCTATGTTCCACTGGGAACGTGAAAGAAAAAAAATTAGAAGAAAAATATCGGGATGCTGTAGATAAAAACTGTTTGAAAAATCTAATAACAGGATACGTTAAATATTGCATTACTGGTTCAATGATGAAATGCTTGTGACAACCATAGACGGAGGCGATCCCTGTTCGATTCCCAGTTGACTAAATCCTAAGCCTCGCCTAATTTACTAGCCACTAGTATAAGTCTCCAAGAGTATGAAGATTGGCTATAATGCTAGCAGTCGTGCACACCGTGAAACGACACTCCTTCTACTGAGACTTTATGTTCCACTCGGAACTCTAGGAATGAAAAGAAGATAAGTTAAATTCCCAGCATATATTCTTTTTTTATTGATTATCTGACTGTTATCGTTCTTTTGTTACCTTAATACATGGAGATTTAACAAAAGTAATCGATATTTAGTGTTAAAGTGTTTGTTTTAAATAATAAGTACTTTTATTTCTATAATATCATGTGAGATATAAGAAAACTTTTTATAAAGGATTGGTTTTAGGTATATATATTTTTTGTGTATAAAATAACCACATTTCTTATTAAAATGTTTAAAATATTTAGACACATCAAAAGAATTAGAGCCTGGAGAAGAAGATGACGGTGAATTTATTGTTGAACCAAAGGCTAAAATGGAAATGGAGAATTTAAAAAATAAATATTTTGAAGTAAGTTAATTTAAACATTATTTATTAACTGTTGCTTTTAACTGAATTTGCGTTGCTGACAAAATATATAAGTGGATTCAATATCCCTGTCTTCTCGTTTCCCACTGTCTGACGCATAATCCAGTCCACCATAATTAGGAATATCATTGGTGATAATAAGCACCCTTGTCTGACTCCTGTGTTTACTCCAAACGCCTCGCTGAGTTTTCCGTTGTGGATCACTTGACATGTGCCGTTGTCGTACAGCTGTTGAATAAGGTTGATCAGATGGCCGGAGAGAATCACCAACAAGGAACTATGGGAACAAACAAAACAAGAACCAATCACCCAACAAATATGCAGGAGAAAGTGGAGATGGATTGGACACTCGCTGAGGAAACCGCTGGGTGACATCGCGCGTCAGGCTATCGCTCGAGTGGAACCCGAAAGGGAAGAGGCAAGTGGGACGTTCAAGGATGACATGGGGGAGATCGTGTGAAGAAGAGTTGAAACAGTATGGATTAACATGGATGCAACTGAAAAGTACAGCAGAAGACAGAAGCAAGTGGAGACGTGTAGTTGAAGCCCTATGTTCCACTAGGAACCCAAGGGAATAATAATAATAATCATTATTATTATAAATTTCACTAACTAAATGTGATTAATGTTTAAATTAGTATGAACAAATATCTCCTGATGACGGTATATCATATGTAATGTGGACTACGTTGTGAATATATACCTATCTGGCGGCCTGTTTAAACCACTGGACTACCTATATTTCCATCTAGCATAATGCATCTACTATTCTCCTTTTTTTCTTGTTTTAATCTTCCATTGATATCACTGAATCGCAACATGAGATCACGCAAATTTTTAGTTGACTTCCAGCCTACTGCTGTCCACTACAAAAAGAAATTGAAGGCAAAATATCGTGGAGGACTGTGTCTTGTCTCAGATAGAATGACATTGCGTCAGACAATATACTGTTGATTGCTATTTTACTTGAAGACTCTATACGAAAAGTAAATGCTTTACAACAAATTATGCTAAGAGTTGTGTATTCTTTAAACATAATATCCTCGCTGAGATTAGAACCCGTGTCACCCAATGCCACGATCATAGAGGTTACCACTGACCTATTCAGCCTCGCGACTGACCTCCTGTAGGACTCTGTTAGATATTAGGACTAGACGGACGATACTGATTACTTACTACCTAGTGTGTCAAATCAAAATATCTAATACAGTCCTATAGGAGGTCAGTCGCAAACCCGAATAGCTCAGTGGTAACGTTGGTGACTGCAGCACTGGATGACACTGGTTCGAATCTCAGAGGAAAGATGAGTCCCTTCAAGGTTGCAGATATACGCTGCTGACCGGTAAATACCAGCAAGCACGAAGCCTAGGTCCAAGGCCTCCTGCCGATGGCGCCCAATCACCTAATAAAAACAATTCAGTGTGCACCAAAAGAGTCGACGCATGAAACTAGTCACATACTACCTGGTGTGTTCAATCAAGGTACATAATATCCAGAATAAAGCTGATATTATTATTATTATCATCAACGAACAGTATATATTCATTGTTCCGTAGATTTGAATAATTATCCAGTTGTCCATAAGGAATGGGAACTACCATGAAATTATACAGTTTAGTAAAAATTGATTCAATATAATTACTGGTCAATGCTCAGAATTGATTGATTTTCTTGATCAGAAATGTTCAGTACTGATTGACACGGCGGCTTCTAGTGAGGAGGATACTTCAAAGATGATGGCCTGATGATTCATATGATGCTGTTTGCTTCATAGTGGCTAGCAGTGACAATCCAGGACACCAACACATTCAAGACTATCACAATAATTCTTGTTAGCCAAAGTGAGAGAGACTGTTTGAAAAAAGAATCTGAAATGAACTAATAAAGTTAGTATAAAATATGTGTGGAAGTTGACACTGAATCGTTGGATTCCCGAGAATGATAACATTTTGAGAATCTTGGAAATATAATAAAATACAGGGTATATTTCTACTCACAAGCTGTAGATATTTCTACTAATTTTTTAAAATTAATCCTTTGTTCCTCTTTATAAGCAGAATTTTCTTATTGCTATATCAATTTACATCTTTGCACTTCTTTCCTCAACTGCTTGGCAGATTTAATTTCTGACATTAATTAGAGAACGATCGAAAGCCAGGCATTACTGAACACTTTTTACGTTCTAGTTTGGGACTGTACAGTAGTGTGCGCTCATCATCTCACGGGGGCTCAGATGTATGGACTTTAGGTTACACGGTGAGCCAGTTGATCATTCATCGACTGGGATGGAATGGCCTATGAGCTCTAACTTTTGCTACCTCGCGATATAAAATGCCACCGTCAGCCAATGTATATCGGTGGGTATTAATTCTCACATCCAAATTGGTGAGCTTTACCGGTTATGACCTCCTCACTAATACGTTATTAGAGTATTTTTGATTGCACACTAGTCAGTAACTAGTGTAATGTGTCTAGTCCTTTGTTTGGTGCAGACTGAATTCTATCAGTCAGGCTTGCAATGTGGCCACCATGCTAGGTTGTCCACCAATATGGTGCACTGTGAATTGTTGGCATCAGACGGTTGGAGGCAATCGGCAGGAAGCCTTGGACCTAGATTTCGTGCTAGCTGGCAGTCAACAGCAAGGCGTATCTGCCACCTAGCATGGTGGTAGATGGCCACTTCGCAAACTTGACTGATAGAATTCAGTCTGCAGCGAAGATAGGACTAGACATATTACACTAGTTACTGACTAGTGTCCAATCAAAGTATCCAGTATAGTCCTATAGGAGGTCAATCGCGAGCCCGAATAGCTCAGTGGTAACGTCTCCGACTGCAGCACTGGGTGACGCGGGTTCGAATCTAAGAAGGAACATGAGTTCCTTCAAGGTTGCAGATATGCCTTGCTGACGAGTGCCAACTAACACGAAACCTAGGTCCAAGGCTTCCTGCCGATTGCCTCCAACCATCTAATACCAACGTTATTAGAGTATTAGATAAGGAAGAGAATTCAACTGATGAGACTGAGAATTTCGATTAGTCTGGCAAATATGTAGCACATCCTGAGTTTTAATCTCTTCCAAGGAGCAATTTTTTCTTATCTGAAGCACGAGAAGTTTGGCAAGAAGTTATGTACGCCTTAATTTAGAAGGTAACACCAATTCATAGGGTTATTGAGTACTGATTTAAGCTTTGTAGGAAGATGAATATTACTTAGGTTGGGTTCTTAGAATGCACATGTTCAAAGTTTCGTCAGTCGTTTCGATAACAGAATGATACCTATTGTTTGTTGTCAATTCAATTTTGATTTTCCCGTTGACTGATTGGACCGGAACGTTGACAAAGAATAACTGACACCCATCGCACGAAAAGTGGCTGTTGTGGTTCAAATGGTCCCGTGGATAACGCTTTGGCGTTTGAAATGATGGATACTGAGTTCGAGCCCCAGTGGGATGTATCATCATCACTTACTGGGGGGATGTAGGCACATCTAGCAGGCGATGAAATGTTCATCCTGGATTCCAATGCTATTCACCACCCCGTAAATTACTATAGGAATGATACTTACTTGGAAATTCTTGGAAATAAATCAAGTTCCATTTAGTTGGATACATGTAAATAGAAAAAATTTATGTCCTAAACTCCTATCTTAGACATCTCTAATGATATGATAATATGATAAATTTTCTATTTTTTATAATTTCTCTTCTAGTTTGGTGAATATGAAGACAATTTCTATGGAACCAAGTATGATAGTATACGTGAAGTTATCAATGCAGGACGTACATGTCTACTTGATTGTTCTGCGCATTCTGTAGCGAAATTAAGAAATTCTGAATTTATGCCATATGTAGTATTTTTAGCTGCTCCATCTGTTAGTTGTATGAAAGCAATGTATGAATACGGAATGAGTATGGGATTTACTGAGAAATGGAAAAGAGTAAGTTGAAGTGTTTAATTACCTTTAACTATACCTGTGTTTATTACTAATCAGTGATACTTACTAGTTTTATCAAATGGGAAAATTGAAATACTGAATTCGGCGGCCTGTTTAAAACTTGGGCTACCACAAACCTCTATCTTTATATTTGCATATAATTTCTCTTGTACATATTGATTTAATCTAATAAAATATGATCTCTAGTCGTAAAAACTGCCACTGCCTAAGAAATAAAACTGACTACCTTCTGTTTTTCAGCATCCAGTTATGTTCTTGGATCTCAAAGTGAACTCCTGCGACTTTTTAAAATTATCTTTAAACCAAATGTTGTGCATTTCTCGAAGGAGCGAAAGAAGAAATGTCATAGGGGATTGGTTTCAGCTTCAGGCGAGACAGTGACCTGTCACATGATCTACTGTCAATTACTAATTTTTCAAGTATTGGTTTTTGTAGGGATTTTGTTTGATTGCATGGATCCGGGTCCCAGTGGCTCAATGGTCTACGAGCTCGCCTTCTAATCAGAAGGTCCTAGGTTCGAACCTCGGTGAGTGCGTACTGATGGAGAGTCCCAAACTAGGACGAAAAAGCTGTCCGGTACTCCATGCAGGTTTTCCACTGGTTCTCTAACTGATGTCAGCTCATGATGAAATCCTCCATACTAATTTTTCCTGAAAGGTCCTAGATGAAGAGAAGATATTGTGCGATAAATTCCGCTGGAAACTTTGTACATTATATAAACATTGTCTGGAATAAAGCTATTATAACAACTAGTATTATTATCGCTACAACCTAATCTGGAATGTCAGACGTCATCAGAAAGCTAAGTGGTTTTTCAAACCGTCATCATTTAGCATGGGTAATTTTTGAAATTTTTGTTTGTATTACTCATACACTTCATACAGTTCTGTTGACCTTTAATGTATCGAACAAATCAATGGCCTACACAAACTACATCAAAATAAATAAAAAAAAATATTCTTTAGGTTAATCTAAAGGATAGCAGCTATGTGGCGTAAACACCCCAGTGACCTTGAATTCATATCATTCGTTGGATTGCAGAACCTACCGTTATTACAGCTCCAATATGAACGCTGTGCACGAACTGAGGTGCAAATTTTATCCTGATCTCGTTTTTCAGAACTATTTGAACAATGGGTTCATAGCACGTTAAGGTTAAGGTTAGGATTTATCCCTAATATTAGAGTTTAGGTAAGTATTAGGGTTGGGGAGTTTTATTATCATTATTATCTGTATTTTTCTTATAAATAAATAAATGGGAGGAGAGTGTTTCGTTGTTCTTATAGATGAAACTGTTTTCATAGATATCAAACTTGAAAAATGACACCTTTCATTGTAGTTGGGAAGTATTTGTTTTAGTTACTTCAGGGTAAAATATCGTCTTTAGTGTGTTTCATTCTTATTATTTTAACTTTTTTATGGTAAATAAACGACTTTTCGATGTATAATACACGGTAGGTTCTGTAATCTAACCAGTGATGTGTGTGTTCAAGGCCACTACTGCGTTCGCACTCCATGGTTGACACTTTCTATGTTTGCCCCTTTTGAAAACACATAGAAAATCCTGCAAACATTTACATTGTTTCCATTTAGCACTAGTTATATTCTTACTACATGTGTTGTCACTTAATTTTTAAAGTCAAACTCGTTCTAAATCAAAAAGAAATTGTACCTTAATGTAAGAGTGAGTCAATGGTTCACTAGTAGAATACTTACCAACCACGGATGTGGTTCGGAGTTCTATCCTCAACCGATGCAATCTCAGCCCTGCAACTTAGCTGGTAGTAAGCCCGGTAAAGATGGAAGGTTGGGAGTGAAAAAAAGGAGAATACCAGAGCTGCTGAAAACTTGAAGCTCAAAGCTTAAAGCCTTATGTTCCACTTGGAACGCAAAAGAATAAAATGAGTAAATAATGTAACGTTAGAATTTGGGCGCTGTTGCAGAGTATATTATTATTATTGTTCCCTTGGGTTCCTAGTGGAACATAGGGCTTCAACTGCACGTCTCCACTTGCTTCTGTCTTCTGCTGTACTTTTCAGTTGCATCCATGTTATTCCATACTGTTTCAACTCCTCTTCACACGATCTCCCCCATGTCACCCTTGGACATCCCACTCGCCTCTTCCCTTTCGGGTTCCACTCGAGCTATGGTCTGACGCGCGATGTCACCCAGCGGCCTCCTCAGTGAGTGTCCAATCCATCTCCACTTTCTCCTGCATATTTGTTGGGTGATTGGTTCTTGTTTTGTTTGTTACCATAGCCTCTTGTTGGTGATACTTTCCGGCCATCTGATATTCAGTATAGAGCGAAGACAGTTGTTGATAAAGGTCTGCAACAGGCTGTTGGAAATATTCTTTGTGACCCGCCACCAAGTTTCTGATCCGTATAGAAGAAGTGACTGACTTGACGTTTGTATTGAAAATTCGAATTTTGTTGTTGATGGTGAGTGACGAAGATTTCCAGATTGGTTTCATGTTGATGAATGTGTTTCTCGCCTTTCCGATTCTCAATTTGACATCCTCGTCCGTTCCTCCTGTAGTTGAGACAATGCTCCCTAGATAAGTGAATGAAGTAACCTCTTTCAAATCCCTCCCGTTGATGTTGATTGGTGTTGGATGTTGCTGCTGTTGTCGGTTGGTTGCAGAGTATAGTTCCATATTAAATAAGTTTATTTGATATAACACACATACACAAACTGATACAGTGTTAATAATTAACGTTTCGAGAACAGTTTATTGCTCATAATCATACAAATTTATTCACACGATTTCCTGACTTGCTTCACACATATACTGGGTTTAGATGTTGCATCATTCCGATTGCATATGTATGGTGTTGATTTGATGAATGAAGATTTGATGATTAACGTTCCTCTCCATCTAATTAAATTCCTTTTTGAGTCATTTTCACCAACTAACTCATTCAAAGACAAATCGAATTAGGAGAGATTTAATTTATTGGTTGGAGGATTTCATCATGAGCTGACATCAGTTAGAGAACCAGTGGAAAACCTGCAGGAAGTACTGGACAGCTATTTCCTCCGTCCTATTTTGGGACTCTTCATCAGTACGCACCTAACACTGCTGTTCGAACCCAGGACCTTCTGGTTACAAGGCGAGCTCGTAGACCATTAAGCCACTGGTACCCGATCCAATGGCCTATGAATTCTAACTTCTGCCAATTCATGACATAGAGCGACCACTTCACAATATCTTCTTCGATGAGTTACTGCCTCACTTTCAGCCTGCTGCACCCCCCCCAAAAAAAAGAAATAATTTAATTTACTAAATATTTAGTAAGTCACAGGTCAATTAAACAGGTCAAACATGTAGATGAGGGTCATTTAGGCTATCGGAATATAGAAATTTAAGTAAGATATAGAATGATTGAGTGTGCTAAATTAAATAATCTCGGAAAAAAGCTTAACTATTTCAAGTCATCAGTTTCCATGTAATCATATGATAGAGTGGGATAGGGTGAAAGTGTTCAAACATACTTAGGTGGAAAGGGAAGTTCATCACTGAATCTTTGTTCATCAAATTCACACCAAACATGTGCAATTGGAATGACGTAACACCTATATCGGGTATATGGAAGTAAGGCTGTATGAAGGAAGTTGTGTGAATAAATTGATATGATTATGAGCAATAAATTGTTCTTGAAAAGTCAGCCATTTATTGATACTATATCGCAGTGAGTTATATCAAATAAATTTGTCTAGTGTGAAAGCCTCATCTTACTTATCTTACTGTGATACTTCTTTTGTAAATGTTGTTAATTTTGAATTTTTTTTCCTTCACTTTCCCCAGTAGAACATAGGGCTTCAAGCTAGTGGCTTGAAGTTTCTGTAGCAGTGTTTATTTTACAGGATGGGGTTGCTAGCCTCATGTCCAACCTTTCCTCTTTACCAGCTTTTATTTCTGGCTTAGCGAGGTAAAGGAGTGAGTCGGTCGGGAATCGAACCCCAGACCATGTGCATGGTCGGCGAGCGTCTTAACCGCTATGCCACCGACTCACCGCTTCTCGGCTCTCTGAGCTAAGATCATGTGTAGTAAATTTTGAATTAATGGAATTCAACTACTCAAATTAATTAGTAGCTCATTTCATATTTGTCTGTTTCATCGAATACGTAGTGCATAAGCTTTTATTTGTTTGTCATTTATATAACCTGTGTATACGTGTTCAGGTTTCTAACTGAGTCTTCCATCCAATCAGAGGGATATTTTTGCTGTCAAGCTGCCAGTATAAATTTTCGGATAGTTACCCCAATGATGCCTATAACTGACTGAACTTTACTCCTGAAATAACAGTAGTGGTTGTGATAGTAATAGTAGTATTTTGAAAAGAAGTAATCTTCAGATTGGTTCGCGAGCTAACATCAGTTACACAACCATCGGAAGACCAGAGAGTTACCGGACAGCTGTCCAGTCCTAGCTTGGGACTCTTCAGCAGTGCAAAGCCACCAGGGTTTGGACCTAGAACCTTCCGGTTACAAGGTGAGCTTGTAGACCATTTAGTCACTGAACCTGACTCAACAGATCATGATATTCTGACTTCTACCTGGTTTTCCAATGATTGTGTAACTGATTTTGGCTCGTGATCGGACTTATAACCAATCAAATCCCTGGAAAGCAACTCTTACAAATCAATCCGATGTTCACTAGCAACTATCTCCATACAGGTAAGCTGTCTGAAGCACTAGTGAGAAGTCGTTAATGAGGTCAAGTTCACCAAGTCAGATAAGAGAAAACAGTTACTCATCTATGACATTGTCAAGCTAGGGTGCTTTATGCATCGCAAATTGGCAGAAGTTGAGATTCATGGACATTTGGATCAGGGTGAAGGAACTTTCCAGTACTACCTAGTTTTCCAATAGTTCTTTAACTGATATCAGCTCGTAACCTAACCTGTAATCAAGCAGATCCCTGGAAATTAACACTTGATAGGTAATCTTCAGATAGAAAAAGAAAGAAAGTAATTTGC